CTATTTAAACCCAACTTATTGGTTTAGCTTAGGCCTGTAACCAATAGAAATTGCTTGAAATCCACGTGAAAGTGCCCACACAAGTATTTGTGCTGGCTTGACATTTTAATATTAGTTAACTGCAATAGCCTGTAGGTGTGGACCTCCCTGTGGACCTCCCTTTAGTAGCCTCCAGCTGTAAAGGTGGAGTCTTTTGGATTTACTGACTACAGTAGCCAACATGTAAAATTTGGCTGCATGTTGCCCACTCTGTTCACACCACTTGGTGCTTTGCATAAGACCAGAAGTTTGCTGGGAGAGTGTCCTTTGAAAAACTAATGTGTTACCTGACCATGGCTGTCTCAAGAGCTTGTTTCAAATACATCTATCAAGGCAGTCCACAGTAATGCCATCTCAAGACTTCCAAAACGTTGAACACAAAATGTAATTATAGTGCATAAGAGTACTATTGGAAAGCCATCTGCTCAAAGTAACTGTGTGCATGTGGCAGTCAGGGTGAAGGCAAGACGGACTGTCAAGGAAGGGACAGACTCTTATGTTTTGTAGTTCAAGCAATCACAAACTTCTAACTCCAGGGCATATCACTGCAGATGTTTCTGTTTCCCTCTAAGTAGGAAAGTGCATACCCCATAATGGTAATGTTTCATGAAATAAGGTATGCCCCTCTACTCCGCTCTCGTGAGACCTCACTTGGAGTACTGTGTACAGTTCTGGTGTCCTCAACATAAAAAGGACATGGAACTGTTGGAACAAGTCCAGAGGAGGGCCACGAGGATGATCAGGGGACTGGAGCACCTCCAGTATGAAGACAGGCTGAGAAAGTTGGGGCTGTTCATCCTGGAGAAGAGAAGGCTGCGTGGAGACCTCATAGCAGCCTTCCAGTATCTGAAGGGGGCCTATAGGGATGCTGGGGAGAGACTCTTCATTAGGGACTGTAGTTACAGAACAAGGGGTAACAGGTTGAAACTTAAACAGGGGAAGTTTAGATTGGGTATAAGGAAGAAGTTCTTTAATGTAAGGGTGGTGAGGCACTGGAATGGGTTGCCCAGGGAAGCTGTGAATGCTCCATCCCTGGCAGTGTTCAAGGCCAGGTTGGACAGAGCTTTGGGTGACATGGTTTAGTGTGAGGTGTCCCTGCCTATGGCAGGGGCGTTGGAACTAGGTGATCTTAAGGTCCTTTCCAGCCCTGACTATTCTATGATTCTATGAAATGATTGATATCATGACATGGTTATTAGGAATATTATGTAAATGAAGGGGGTCCTTTAGACAGAGCCTTAGGCTTTGAGTTAAGTGCTAAGTTATATACTGATCATATTCCTACTGCCCTAGCCTTCACCCATCCCTGAATATCACCCTGAAATATCTTCCCAGCATGTGGCAGGTTACCAGCAAGACTTGCAGTGGAGATTGTAATTTCAAGTGGCCTGATTAAGAAATGAGAATGGGTGGCTGTGGAGGATTGTGTGTCTCCTGTGTTCTTAATATAGCCTCTCTTAACCAGAGTAAACCCAATAGGATTGATAATTCTATCATAAAGAAAATAAAATTATTATAGTGTGCAGTAATTCACTGGGATCTCATTGAGTGAGCTGTTTTTCTTATCCAGTTTTCCTGAATCCTCCTAAAACAGCTGGATGGCAATGAGATGTTTCAGACATGCTGAGAAGCACCGGAGGGCACAGATTTTCTAGGTTGTCTTTATTTGGAAGTCTGACTGCACCTTTGCCAATCAGTTTTTTAATACTAACTGCTTATTTCAAAAATGCTGAATTCTTTACATGTTGAAAAGCTCTGCTATGATTTTATTTTCTTTTTTCTATTTGTGCTTCTCTTGTATTGAACTATCAGAATATATTGAATTTATGTCAATGAAATTTATAGTTGTATTTTGCTCATCCATCACTATAAAGCTGGTGATGTGCTTGGATACCACTGTGGCATGATAAAGACAAGATGTTTATTGTTCTTGTAGGACAGCAGTGCTTAATTATACAAATAATGATGTAATGGATGTGGTTGTTGGAGTCTGCAGCCAAGAGTTGTGATATCAGGGTTTGTCTGAACTGCAGATATGCAGCTTAGCCCCAGTCTGCCAGTTCTTTCTCCAGTGGAAACATTTTATTCTTCTTTTAGAAGCATTTTGAGAATAAAACCCCTTATTGGTCAGATGGGCTGTTTGAGGGAGTAGTGCTGTAACATCAGGATATAGGTATCTACTAGTTAGATACCTAGATCTAGCAACTACCTAAGTAGTCATATAATTTGGAAAGAATCCTGCAATTTTACTTGTTAATTACTATAGGGCTACCTCTATAGTGTTTCCAGCAGAAGACAGATGGTACTCTCCTATGTTATGTATTATGGAGGATGGTAATTCTAACAAAACTGAAAAGCCACATCAAATCTCTTCTCCCCCACATTTCATACTCAGTAATTTTCAAGGGATATGCAGAAAATGCAACAGCCTTTCTCTGTTATGTTTTTGAAGAGCTGACTAAAAAATATCTTTTAATAGCCAATGTGAAATTTATTGTATTTTTCTCTTCTAAAAATCCTAAGTCAGATGAAGTTGGAAAAGCTAAATAGCTGCCTCCATGAAAAAATCAAGCCAGTAATTTAAGCACTTAGAGAAGGATTTGGGGATGGTCAAAAAGGACAAATATACACAAAGTGGGATTCTAGCAAAAGGTGGCGGAGTTGTGATCATGAAAAACAGCGCTTAGCTGCTGGCTAACTCTCAAAGCAAGTAAACAAAACGCATGCTCTGCTTACTTTTTCACTTCAAATACATAAACAGTCTTGGGAAGAAACACTGAACATAGGGTAACCCTGGCTCACATGTGGCCTGACCATCAGGTTAGAGAGACAAATCTCCCTGTATTTTCTCTCTGGTCTACTTCAGACAACTTTGGTTCTTGTGTGATGGCACACCTCTAGCAGGAGGGGTTGAGGCTGCCCAGCTTAGCCCCAGAGATAATTGTTAGGATGTTTTATGCTAGAATGCTAAGCATGGGTTCAAATCCGATGTGTACCCACCTTCCCCTTTTTCTTAGGTGAGTGCTCTGACTACTTACTCTTTTGTGAAAGGAATAGTTTTCCCCTGATTCATGGCAAATAAGAGTTCTGCAGGATTCCTGGGAAGACAGATGTGTTCCTTCAAGAGGGGGGTCTGCACCACCAAGCTCAGAGAGAGGAAAGTGCTTGCTTTAAGATAGGAGGAAGGCAGAAATAGGGCAGGATTGAATGATTGTACCTCTCTGCTCATGTTTCCTGTTGGCTGACCTGGGCTGCAGAATAGTGTGTGCACTGACTTGTAGAAACACCAGACTCAGTGAGCTGTGCTTATTTCCTGTAGGGTCTTTCTGTCAGCTTCAGGAAAAAGTGTGTCATGTCTAAATCCATTGTTGGATTGGACCATAAAGAACTTGGCTGCAGGAACCCATCTAAAAATAGTAGTATAGAATCATAGAATCACTTAGGTTGGAAAAGACCTTCAAGATCATTGTGTCCAACCATTAACCTAGCACTGCCAAGTCCACCACTAAACCATGTCTAAGCGCATCTACACCTCTTCTAAATACTGCCAGGAATGGCTTCTCAACCATTCTCTGAGCAGCCTCTTCCAATCTTTGACAACTTTTTTGATGAAGAATTTTTTGCTAATATCCAATCTAAACCTCCCCTGGTGGAACTTGAGGCCATTTCCTCTTTTCCTGTTGCTTGTTACTTGGGGGAAGAGACCGACCCTCACCTCACTACAGCCTCCTTTCAGCTAGTTGCAGAGAAGGATAAAGTCTCCCCTGAGCTTTCTTTTCTCCAGCTGTACAACCCTAGTTCCCTCAGCCATTCCTCCTAAGACTTGTATCTTTCCCTGACTGGTATCTTTTGAAGATTTTCCAAGCAAAACACTGTTGCATACTTAGAGCAGCTTGAGCCCTGCAGGACTCTGAAGCTAGGTCTGTCATAGAGTTGCAGAATGGTTTGGGTTGAAAGGGAACTTAAAAACAATCTAATTCCAACCCACCTGCCATGGTCAGAGGCACCTTCCACTAGACCAAGTTGCTCAAAGCCCTGTCCAACCTGGCCTTGAACACTTCCAGGAATGGGGCATCCATGACTTCTTTGGGCAACCTGTTTCAGTGTCTCACCACTCTCATAGTGAAGAACTTCTTCCTAATATTTAATATATACCTATCCTCTTTCAGTTTAAAGCCATTCCCCCTTGTCCTATCACTACGTGCCCTTGTAAAAAGCCCCTCTCCAGCTTTCTTGTAGGCCTTCTTCAGGTACTGGAAGGCTGCTGTAACTGAAAGAGGAAAGAAGGTACTCTTGTACAGAGAGTAAACTTGTAACAGAGTATTTTGTGCATCTTTGGGTGAATGGATATTTGATAATTAAACGCATAGTAGATTTATGATACTTTTTAGAAGTTTCTATATGAGTTCAGCTTTCTGTGAGTGGCCAGCTACCATGAGATTTGTTTTAAAAAGCTGTAGGGACTGATCTTAAGGTTCTCTGAAAAATCACCTCCTCGTTTAAGGCTTGCTGTGAACTTCATTATACATTTTATGCAGTCTGTGCCAGTTAAGACCATTAGCGTTACCATGAACCTGTAACCTTAGAGAAAAAAACAACAGTTACGCTTAAAAACATAAAAGCGGTGTTATTAACAAAAAGCGACTTATCAAGTGTAAATAAAATGACCTGAACACAATGTGCGTCACTGTACATGCATGTCCTCATTTACCATCTGGTTTCTGGTTTATGACCCTAGCTATAGATTTATTTTGTGCTAGTGGACAAACAATTGGACAACACTTAAAAACACAAGCTGGAATGTAGTTGTTGAAACCTGGACAGTAGGGAAAGCTGACAGCAATCCCACATGCTTTGTATCATGTGGGGGAAAACCAGTTTACAAAGAAGATTAGCTGAACTGTAAACATTGCATCTTGATAAGTCTTCCACATAGTTATGATTTCTTTTACTTTCTCCAGATTTTCCCTGAAGTCCAGCTGAGAACACAACCTACAAAATAAAGTGAAAAAGCTGTGCAGCTGAAGAGGCAGCATTCTACTTGATGAAAATGTCCCTTGTTTTTTGACAACGACTAAAGGACAATGGGGTCAAACACACTTGGGAAGGCTGCAACTTTGGATGAGCTTTTGAACACTTGTATTGAAATGTTTGGTATGAGTTTTCAACATTTTACTTTGCCGTTCTTGGAATTCACCTTATAATATAACCCCTGCTGTTCTCTGATTTAGCCAGTCTTTCCTTTGGCAAACAACATTTCTGTTCTGTAAAGTTTTCCATGTTTCATTTTGGACCAGAATCACATGAGCCAGAATTTTAATCACATGCATACTGTATTAAATATTCGTAATACAGATAATGCACAATGGTGAGTATAGTGGTTTTTAAAATGCTGGCCTTCACCAAGAGAAGTGTTTAGTCGAATTATTCAAGGAGTTATTTCTGGCATTGATTTTTGTCTTAAGTGGTTACACAGCTGCATTTCTGACCACTCGTTTTTTGGATAGGTTTTCTGAAGCATCATGGAATAATTGACATGGCTATGACTTAAGGCTCATGTAATCTTTTTACTCTTGTTAAACTGTGATGTACCAGGTCTGAGGCAAAGAAGTGATGAAATAGACTTTGATTCATAGCACCATTATTCATGACGTATGTCACATTGTAGTCAGATGAGTTCATGGATGGTCTTAAATAGTTTGCAATGGGGCCTTAATTCACAAAGCTACATTTAGATTCTCTTGAAATGCAGGACCGCTTTTGGTTGGAATGAGGTAATAATTGTTTTCCCTTGTGGAAAGAAATAAATATCTAAAGGTAAGAGAGACTAAATAATTGAGGGACAAATGGGTCTTGCTACTGAGTGTAGTGAATCCCTGTATATGCATTTCTATAGACCATAATCAAACCTGTTATTCTAAAACCTAATGAAAGTATTCATATACTTAGAGTATTCTTATACATAGAGCCTGTATACTTATTGTCTGTTGGAAATCATGCCTCTCTTCCTTGTATACACACTCTCTTGACAAGTGTACTGCCTGTGTTGTTCCTGTTTCACACATGCATACAATCTACTGTCTTTTAAAAGAGTGACATACAGAGAATAATCCAAGATTGCAGATGATGAGGAAGACTGATGGTCAGCTTGCCTGCCAGGGAATAACTCTTTCTGTAGTTTCAGTGGCCATACCGCAAAGACACATTGGTCTGTAAAGCAGCTGGAGATGGGGCCCTGGGCACAGATGCGAGATACTGCTTTGACATTAATTAGTTGAGGCAGATCCCTTTTTTAACAATCCAATTGTTACCATAAAGCTATAAAGCTGCACTAAAACACATATTGGAAGTGGTTGTACATAAATCCCCACACTTTTGGTGGATTAATTTTGGGTTCTTTCTTTGGATTACTGCCAGTCTCTTTGTATAACGTTTAGAATAGTGCTGTCCCTGCCCTGAGATTACTTTTTTTAGCTATGGCCCATTATCTGCACTGTTTTGGGTTTTTTTCCCTTAACTGCCTAGCACTACAGTCTGAAATAACTACTCCTAAAGAAGCATTTTTGTGCTTTGGTGTTATTTCCTACCTATTTGGTAGATAATAAACCAACGTTTCTACTTTTGATCTTTCTATCTGACTCCACTTGAAGAATAAAAGCTCCTCTCTGTTCATGAATGATGTGGTTAACTCTTTCTGTTTTGCAGATGACAAGGGAAATAGGTGCTCCAACCCTTTGCCAAGAACTTTTCTTTTAATGCACCGGTGGTATCTGCCTTCCACAGAGCTGGCTGGCAAGCTTCTGTCCACATATCCTTTCACAAAGTCTTGGAAATCAATATTATAATGTCAAAAGCAGATTGTTTCTGTTACTGCATGTGTAAAATGTGTCAATTAATCAGTGACAAAAGGTTTGGAGGTGAATTTTTTTCAACCTAAGTTGAAAGCTCAAGTCTGTGAGCTTTATGCTTCTGCTTATGGACCTTCTCCATATGTACAAGCATGCTGAGGCATATCTTGCATTAACTTTGAATTAGTGGAAATATATGGCCAAGATAACTTTTCAAATGTATCATGGTGGGCTGGCCTTTGACTACTGTGAACTTTCAGTGGTAGCTAAGCACCTACGTCTCATTTACACCCCTCAGAGAATTCCGTAATCAGAACTATTATCACATTTGGTTAGCCAGAGCTAGCAACAAACCCTTCAGCAGAATATGCAGAATAATAGAATAGAAGCATTTTTGCTAGGGCAGAAAATAAAGTGGCAGCCAGAAAATGGTCTTTGTCCCCTAAGATGCTACAAAAGTGAATGAAATATCAGTACATACTGTAGTTATCTCAAGTAGGAAAGTTTGATACTGATTTTTAGGAAGCTGGCTTAGTGTCAGAGTCTTCTGTGGTTAAAAAGATCATTACTGAACCAAGGCACAGAAACCTTTCTTTAACTAGGATACATATAGAGATGCCAATGGGGAGAACTGCAATGAATTCAGATTAAAAATCTGTTACTTCATGAGGTAAGTGTGCTTCTGACCCTCTGGCATTTTGGTTTTATGCGACTGTGAATAACATCAATGTACTTTCTTTTTGTAAATATTGAAACTAAACCATGGAAATATAAAAATACAAAGCTTTGCTTTTTGTTAGTTTGTTTTTCTTGTTTTGGTTTTTTTTTTCACTTGATCTCCAGTCTATAGTGAAGAATGAATTTCTCTGATTTGAAAACAATTAAGTTGAACCATTCAGCCTGTAAGACACTTAACTGCATTGAGCTAAAAACCTATGCTATGATTTAGCTGGTGTTTGAGTATGACATTTCTTAGAGAGAGACTAGTTCAGTGCCACGTAGACAAGAGACATATTTTCCTCCCAGATGTAATCTAGTGTGGTAGAAGAAGATTGTCTCTGGGCTGTCAACTTCAATTCACACAATACCTACACAATTTGTGGTGACAGGACTGTGTTAGTGATGCCAGTTGGACTATTTGACCATTACAGGTCAAGTATGTTCTGATCCTTGCACTGACTGTATCTGACTTCGTTTGTATGCAAAGTCTTCCATGTGTGAGGCTGTGCTTGTATAGGAACTTTTCTCCATAAAAGAGCAAGCATGAACTTTTAAGTTAACATGACACAACATGCTTCCCTCAAACATTTTTCCTCCTTCCTCTGGACTAAGTTATATCACTGTGAAGGCAGGGGGAATTATTGAAAGCAGGACTGATAAAGCCTTTTTCATACCCTAGTTAAACAGTAGAGGAGACATCTTACTTACATGATTATCATGGTAAGACTGCCACTCAAATTCATGTATTCATTTTCATTGAAAAATCTTTTCTGAACAGAGTGTGTCACTTGGACAAGGGCTAAGTGCAAGTGTCATTTGGGTGTCCTGGCAGCCTGAATCAGAATATGTGTGTGTGCCTTTTGTTTTGTGCACCTGAGACATCGCTTAAATTCTGTATTTCAGTACAATGCTGCTGTGTTGTGCTGTGGTAGGTTAACCAAAGGAAATTAAAAGATAAAGTGGCTTTTGCCACTTCAGTGTCACCTATAATTACAGAAGCAACAGGCTAAGGTAGTCTACCCTCTGTCCAAAGACCAGTAGGTCTAAAATACTTCTAAGTCCTATTAAATAAAATGTAAGTACATATATATATACAGACACTGAATGTTATACCTGAATCCCTGGGCATGTCGTAACTGCTGTCTTTGGATTTCAGATACTGGATTCTGGAATTTCCTGCAGAGTTTAACTTGGATCTTGGGCTGATTCGTTTGACTGAAGAGTTTCGAGAAGTAGCCAGTAAGCTTGGATATGAGGATCACATCCACCTTATTGATATCTCCAGCATGTAAGGATGTCATGACCTTCAACGTCTTCCTCTCTGTAACAGTAGAATTCTAGTTCAGTGCAAAATATAAAAGTGCTAAAGGCCATCTTGAGTGCAAAAAAGCAGTTACAGAAAGATTGTATTCTCTTCTATATTTGAAATTACTACAGATTTGAAATTCTAGTTGGAGTCACAGTAAAGAAAAGATTCTTATCGGTGTGTAAGTTTTTTTAACATAAATGGGAGAGGAATAATTTTCCTGACAAAGCTAGTGCCAATTAAGTGATTAATATTACTTTTTTCCCTATAATTTTTCATGCAGAATGACAAGTAAAGCAGTGACTTACATGTTGTGTAAATCTTGCATTTTCTCAGGGAAGTTTTTGTTCTCTCATCAGTAACCTGTTTGGGGTTTTCTTGTTTGGTTTTTATGTTTTTTGTTTTTTAATGGCTTTCAGTGTACTTCTATGATTTAACTGGATAACCTTTAGCATTCACATTTGTAGTTTTATTGCACCAAAATGGTTACACTACTATTTCCTTGACACACTAAAGTGAAAGTTACCTTTTAAACATCACCAGACAGGTTTTTGTATCTCACCTGATTTTAGAATCATAGAATCATAGAATAGTTAGGTTTGGAAAGGACCTTAAGATCATCTAGTTCCAACCCCCCTGCCATGGGCAGGGACACCTTACGCTAAATCATATCACCCAAGGCCTTGTCCAATCTGGCCTTGAACACTGCCAGGGATGGAGCATTCACAACCTCCCTGGGCAACCCATTCCAGTGCCTCACCACCCTAACAGGAAAGAATTTCCTCCTTATATCCAATCTAAACTTCCCCTGTATAAATTTTAACCTGTTACCCCTTGTCCTATCACTACAGTCTCTAATGAAGAGTCCCTCTCCAGCATCCCTATAGCCCCCTTCAGATACTGGAAGGCTGCTATGAGGTCTCCATGCAGCCTTCTCTTCTCCAGGCTGAACAGCCCCAAGTTTCTCAGCCTATCTTCATACTGGAGGTGCTCCAGTCCCCTGATCATCCTCGTGGCCCTCCTCTGGACTTGTTCCAACAGTTCTGTGTCCTTTTTATGCTGAGGACACCAGAACTGCACACAATACTCCAAGTGAGGTCTCACAAGAGCAGAGTAGAGGGGCAGGATCACCTCCTTCAACCTGCTGGTCACGCTCCTTTTGATGCAGCCCAGGATACAGTTGGCTTTCTGGGCTGTAAGCGCACACTGCCAGCCCATGTTCATTTTCTCATCAACCAACACCCCCAAGTCCTTCTCTGCAGGGCTGCTCTGAATCTCTTCTCTGCCCAACCTGTAGCTGTGCCTGGGATTGCTCCGACCCAGGTGCAGGACCTTGCACTTGGCATGGTTAAACTTCATGAGGTTGGCATCAGCCCACCTCACAAGCGTGTTGAGGTCCCTCTGGATGGCATTCCTTCCCTCCAGGGTATCAACCGAACCACACAGCTTGGTGTCATCGGCAAACTTGCTGAGGGTGCACTCAATCCCACTGTCCATGTCAGCAATGAAGACGTTGAACAAGACCGGTCCCAACACCGATCCCTGAGGGACACCACTCGTTACTGGTCTCCAGCTGGACATTGAGCCATTGACCACAACTCTTAGCATGCGGCCATCCAGCCAGTTCTTTATCCACTGAGTGGTCCATCCATCAAATTGATGTCTCTCCAATTTAGAGACAACGATGTCATGTGGGACAGTGTCGAACGCTTTGCACAAGTCCAGGTAGATGACGTCAACTGCTCTACCCCTGTCCATCAGTTCTGTAGTCCCATCACAGAAGGCCACCAAATTGGTCAGGCAAGATTTCCCCTTAGTGAAGCCATGCTGGCTGTCACCAAGCACCTTGTTGTTTTTCCTGTGCCTTAGCATGCCTTCCAGGAGAATCTGCTCCAAGATTTTGGCATATGCATAGAGATTTTTCCTTATTTAAAAATGGCATAGTAACCTGGAAGGACAACACTATTAATCTCAATGAAGTTTGCAAGACTTCCTGCAAGAACAGTAGTAGTGAAATTACATAAATATTGCCTCTTAAATCTTCACCTTAAAATATTATTAGCAAACTTTCTGCTCTCTGAAGTGCTTTTTCTGTATATGGGTAGAAATTATTCTGTTTCTTGCAAGAAAATGATTTGCCTTTTTGTCCACCCGCTTACTATTTTGTTGGCTGTTTGACTGACTGTTTCTGTTGTTCTGTTATTCATAGACCTGTGGTTTTAAAGAGTAAAAATTATTCCTTGATATTGTCTTTCTTTTATGTTGCATTAGAGTTTGGTGTGACCTGTTCTTCTATTTCCAAATAATCTTTTCATTATGACTTCCTGTATCATAGAGAACATCATCTGTGTTCAGATAGAAACTTGCTATTATTTATCATTTGTAGAAATGCCTTTGAAACTCTTATCTTCTGTTATGCAACTGAATGGTGCTACTCACTGGATGTGACAGATCAGAAAGCTCATGGTCTGTCTTCTAGTAATTTTACACTATGTGTTCAAATTGTGGACTACACTCACATATACCCAAACAGAATTGAGAATTATACCTATTTTTCTGTTGCAGTCCTTCCTATGACTGGATGAGAAGAGTTACACAGAGAAAGAAGGTTTCCAAGAAAGGAAAAGCCTGCCTGCTGTTTGACCATCTGGAGCCCATTGAGCTAGCTGAGCATCTTACTTTTCTGGAGCATAAATCTTTCAGGAGAATTTCTGTAAGCCCACAGCTTTGTCATTTGCAATTAGGAGCCTGTCCTTAAAGAGTGTTCACATGGCTTAACATTTATCACTTTTTTCCCCTCTACATTTCCGTATAATATATCATTATATTCCTTCATATGCCGTACATAGACATGGCTGTACCAGCACTTCCTTGATCTTCTTTATGACTGATGCTTTTAGTAACAGACATTTAGGGTTGTTTTTTCTGGGGAAATACTGGGCAAAAATTAGTGCTAAAAGCCACTGCAACCATGTGTTGCAGCCATTCATTAAACTAATATTAGCATTCAAAGTCTTCAGTTTTGGTTTGGTTTATTTTGGTTTGTTTTTACCTCTGAGAAAACAGTTAATTACTTTTCAGTAAATATCAGCATCTTTGCAATGAATGATTTTTGAAGAGTTTGAAATATACATAGTCCTTCTGTAGTGTCTGTTCTTCCCAACTATTTCTTCAGAAACTGTCCTTTCATTTTCCAACTTAGGATCAAAAGATAATTCAGATTGGAAGGGTCTCTAGGTCAACCTCCCTCCCAAAGTAGGGTCAGCTTTGGGACAGATCATGGTCCTCAGGGACTTCGCCAATTGGGTCTTGAAAAACGCATGAATGGAAACTGCACAACTTCTCTTTCCTCATTTTCCATATTGGCACTGAGGAAAATTCAGATACAGTTGCTTCTTTTCATAGAGAATTGTACATGAACAAGAGGCAAAACCAGACTAAAATTAAAGTAGATGCTAAAGCAAAACAAATGAGTAATCCAAATGCCAAAAGAAATACTGATTTCTAACGGCAAATATCCATATGAAAAGGTCATGATGCCACTGTTTCTGGTGGCAAATGAAAGCAGTAAGTGCTCAAGGTGACAAGTTCTCTGAAGGAAAAAAAAAAGATACTTTTAAAAATGTTTAGGAGCATGAAAGAAATTGAACTACAAAACTAAGAAAAATATATGAGGTTTTTTGTTTGTTTCGAGGGAGGAAGGAAAGAGAGATCAATGAGGAGCTGAGACCAGTCTAAACAGAATCACTTTTGGCATCATCTAATAACGTTCAAAGGTTTATTACTCTAGACTTCAAATCATGGGAAAACACCCTACTGTGATCTGTGCAAGACTAACCCTAAACAAGGCAGGAGGAACAAGAAAAATGGCACGGATTTCTAGCTAGACTTAAGATATCTTTTAATTCCTTTAGGAATTCCAGAAATAAAACTCAGACCTGCAATCAATTTTCTTTTTTCCTTGTTGTTTCTAATTTGTTAATTCTTTGGCTTGAGTTTTGCAATATCAGATGTTTCTCTGCAACCAATTACAGTTAATGAATCTTTTACTATTTATTATCTCAAAGCTATGTAACTGTAGAATATGATTAGTCTGAATCCTGTCTTTGGTTTTACCTATTTAATAAAAATATGGGGGGAAAAGGATGGAGGAGAAGGAAGGGGGGTGTTAACTGTAACAAAAAGCATTTTAAAGTAACTGAACACTGAAATACTGTTTATCTATCTGCAGTTCTGAGACAAGCATCTGCTGTGTTAGCGTGTATGTCATCATATGGTCTTCTAGCAGGCAATTTTTGATCAGCTGGAAGACCAAGAATTGTGTGTTGGCTTACACTGCTAGCAAGCTAAAGTTGTGTCATAAGCTTCTGAAAGTCTGTTTTTAAGGGACAGCTGAAAAATGTTTTCAAACATTTAGGGACATTTAATTCTTGGGAGCCATAGTTCTCCCATGTAGAGCCACGTCCATGAGCACACAGATCATAACCATAACATCAAAATGGGCAAGATTTATCAGAAGTAGCTTCTTGTGAAACAGATATTTTTTACATAAGAGGAAGAAAATAGGTGCTCAGTTAGCTGCTTGGGATGCAGTTCAAGCTCATGTGAAGAGTGACAGAGCTGCAGCAGGGTCTGCTGAGCCTGAGTCTTTGTCATTTTCTAAACAAGAGGAGAAAAAAAAAATAAAATTGAATCACTTTCAATTTTATCCTTAATTTGTCCACTTTTTTACTGAAAATGCCTTCCCTTTGTTAGTTCACAGACTACCAAAGCTATGTGATCCATGGCTGCTTGGAGAACAATCTTACTTTGGAGAGATCTATTGCTTTATTTAATGGTATCTCCAAATGGGTCCAGCTCATGGTTCTCAGCAAACCAACACCCCAGCAAAGGGCAGAAGTAATCACAAAGTTTATCAATGTTGCACAGGTAAGTCTTGTATATGATTCTTTTTCTTCCATTATGAAGCAATAATATAAATCGAGATTGCAGTAAACAAATGAACTGAATGCTCTTTGTGCTGTTTCCTCAGTGTATTCTGTTCAATAGTTTTACCTATTGAACAGTAGGCTATTCAATAGTTTTACCTGTTGAACAGTAGGATTGTGTAGGCTGTTCAATAGTTTTACCTGTTGAACAGTAGGATTGTGTAGGCTGTTCAATAGTTTTACCTGTTGAACAGTAGGATTGTGTAGGCTGTTCAATAGTTTTACCTGTTGAACAGTAGCCTGTTCAACATCACTGCACGTTATTTGTTCAGGTGTGGTATATCTGTGTTTTTTTACTAGCAGACATAACTATAAATTAATTTTTCTTTGTTGTATTCTAGTTGACAACTGTCACTACTGTGTGTTTCTTGTGGACCTAAGCTAATTAAATAAAGAAATGCTGAACCATTATGTTATGTCTCCTGGTTTAACGATTTCTGCTTTAGCAGTGACAGATGGTCTCCTTTAGCTTGATGTGTGTGACATGAGATAGCTGCCACATATATTTCATTTACTTTTCATAATCCATGATCAATTTCTCCTGCAGAAGCTCCTTCAGCTCCAGAACTTCAATACACTGATGGCAGTTGTGGGAGGTCTAAGCCACAGCTCTATTTCTCGTCTGAAAGAAACTCATTCTCATCTCTCTTCAGAAGTCACAAAGGTATGGTGGACTTCAGAATATAGAGATAATGAGCAGAGCATCACCTCTCTGAGGTCTGATGGATTCTGCAGTGCAGGTGTCTCACCAGCACAGTACTTGGATCATGGCAGAGCATCCACAAGGGCACTTTGTTTGCATTCCTCTTGGTGGAGAAAGATCGGCTCATGGAGATCCTCTGCTTGATTGCCTGTGCCAGAGAGAAAACTAACACTGTCGTTACCCTGATATAAACTGTGCTCATTTAAACCAGATTAAGGAAATTCTATGAATGCTTTCACAGAGACTTGCTTCTCTGGCTGTTTGTAGGACTGGAATGAAATGACAGAGCTGGTCTCTTCCAATGGAAACTACTGCAACTACCGCAAGGCTTTTGCTGACTGTGTTGGCTTCAAAATTCCTATTTTAGGAGTTCATTTGAAAGACTTGATTGCTGTCCATGTAATTTTTCCTGACTGGATAGGTGAGAACAAAGTTAACATAGTGAAAATGCAACAGCTTTCCATCACCTTGAGTGAACTAGTTTCCCTGCAGACTGCCTCTCATCATTTAGAGCCTAATATGGATTTAATTAACCTGCTAACCGTAAGTATTGAGCATGTTTCAATTCATTTCTGTTATTCAGATGTTGAATATCAGTAGGAATATTCATATCTATAGAGATAAGTGCACATTTTTATCCCAGTTTTGTAAAAGAAAAGGGAGAGAATATAAAACAAAAACAAGTGCGCAAAGAGTTTCATTACTGTAGTATGTGATGGCTGGAAGAAGCAACAGGGTTGTTATACATGAATCATTTTAAGGATGACAGAAAGAGGGCTGTTATTTGTGCTAGGAGAATTTAAAACTAAGTTCTGAGCACTTAGAATTGAGGCTTATGTCTTCTGTGCAAAGATCAGGTGATGTGTTGACATGGACACACAAGCAGAATTCCAAGTTGGGCATTGCTCTGTCCTTTCTCTACTATGCTTCATGTGTGACATAGTACTCTTTCTATCCAGTACAAAAAAAATTGCTCTTACATGTGGCTAAACAATTCCTGCAACCCTTACTATTTCTCCTTTCCTCCCCCCTTGGCATTGGCTGCATTTGTGGAGGTTTGAAACTTGCACATACAAATTACAGATAAGGATTTGAAGGTCCTATTTCAAAACAGAGATTTCAAAAAGACTGAATAAAACATGTATTTTTTTAAAGATGCAACTGACAATGCTAAAAGGAATTAATTTTCAGTCCCCTTTTTGATAATTGAGTATATGACCATTATTACTTTTTCACTTACGTGAAATACTTTGATGTATCCATTCCTAATATAACTCTGTTGACTGTGGTTACAGCTGAGCCAATCTGATTGTAAATAATGAAGTTACATTCTGCAGTGTTGATTCCAGACCTGATCATGGGCTAAAATTAATTTGTGCTGCTGTTACCTATTAACATGATTCCATGGCGGTACCTTTTAGTAATGGTGGAGACAGCCATGGGTATCCTAGGTAGACAGCTGTAGGTAGCCTAAAACACCTCCAAGGTAATTCTGTCTTTGTAGTAATCACTGGAAGCGTAGTTATGGGTCAAGTACATTTGATTTAAGATGGTGACTCCACGAAAAGAAAAAGTCAAAGATCAACAGAAAGTTCCTATACCAGACTTTTGGTACATGTCATAAAATGAATGTTCTCAGTTTGATTCTAACATTGTAGGAGTTTCCCTTATTTGTACATATGAATAGAATATTTTCTTCTTTTTGACAGCGTTCATCTGCCATGTAAGTCATTACTCTTTAAATGATTCTGTCCATCTTTCTGTTAATAAGAAAGTTTTATGTTTTAGGCTGGGGTCAGAGGAAGAGAAGAAAAGCTAGTGTTGCAGCCCAAAGCTGACAAGAACTGCCAACTAAAAAGAGTTGACCTTGCTACATGCAAATGGTCTTTTAACAGATTTAGCCTCCCTTGCTGCCAAAGTCATCCTGTTTCCAGAGCCTGAAGAAATCATTATTTCACTTATTGCTAGGTCTTCATTCTCTAATGTAAACTGTAAAAATTTTTCTCATCTTTAACTTACTTAGAGAAACTCCTTTTCAAAACTAGTAAATGTGTATAGGTGTGTAGAGTGCATTTCATTTGCATGTGAATCAGCTGACTCAACTATTTGTTCACTTCAGCTGTTTTTCCATTAAGCTGCTTCTATCTGGGCAAGCTTTTAGTATGTATTTTGTCCTGATAAGCCATGTGTATATCTCTTGCCTGGCCTCCATCCCTTGCAGTGCTGCCTTTTGCAACACACTTAGCAAGTGCTAACAGCCTGGCCTGTGCTCGCTTGACAAATAAAGTCATTGGGTGTTGGTTTGCTAGTACAAGAACTTGCACAAAAGGATAACATTAGTATTTTGTGGCCATGTAGGCATTTGCCCTGGTTTTTCTTTTCTTGATGGTGGAGGCCTATCCACTCTGGGGAAGCTGATACATTCAAGTGGTTTGAAAATGATGATGTTGAGGCACTGGCACAGGTTGCCCTGAGAAGTTGTTGCTGCCCCCTGCCAGTGTTAAAGGCCAGGTTGAACGGGGCTTTGAGCAGCCTGGTCCAGCGGAAGGTGGCCCTGCCTGTGGCAGGGGGTATCTAACTAGATGATCTTTAAGGTCCCTACCAACCCAAAGCATTCTATGATTCTATGATTCTGTGTTTGGGGAGACTGTGTTAAGAGCTATGAAGTGAGAGTTTGGCTTAAAAGCTAGGGCACGGGCTTGGTAGTAGACAACAGGCCCTCTGCATAGGAGACTACAAAAGCTGAGAGGGAGCTCTAGTGATGCAAGTCCTCTCATGTCATATGTAAATGAGTCTGTGTTATATGGGCAAGAGGAGTAAATGTGCCAGGACTCAGCTGCTGGTGAGCAAGAGTGTGTTACATAAAGATGGACTCAGTGCATGCTTGCTCTTAGTCTGTGTGGTTTTTCCTCCTTTCTTGCCTTATCAGCCACACTTGCTCCAGCTCCACTGACTCTGTACCCAGTTTTGTGCCAGTCCCTGGCATCTGAAACCTGGAGCTAAGAAGCAGAAGTAGTAAAGAGGACCTACTCACAAGCTTGGCAGTGCAATAGAGAGAAAGAGCAGCTCTAACGACACTTTCATCATTAGGAAACTTACATTTGGTAAGGATGCTTAAGGGATTTCCTTACCTGCTGTGCATTATTTCCACATTGTTTTTATTTCACAATGTGATAAAAGCCTGCAGGTAAATGTTTCATCACTTTCTGTGGATTGGAAGTGGATCTCAATGTCTCAGCTAGAGTACAATGTATTTATACTAACTGCACTAGAACTTATTTGGTGGCACCATTTTCACCCCACTATTTTTAGATCCCAACAGATATTTATCTAACCTGCTCTGAAACTATACGCAAATGACTGGAAAGTCCCAGTCATTTGGACAGTCTAGTGAAGAGAATGAGAAATATCTAAACAATCAAATTGAAAGTCACCCTCCCTAACTTGTGTTCAGTAAGTTCCACTTACCAAATAAATGTTGTGCATTTCTGATCACACCCCCACCCTCCTTACCCACCACCCCCCCAAAATGCTTGGCAACATAGGACAGCAATGAAAGTCAAATTAGAATGGAAACTGCCACCTGCTGTGGTGGTTCTCCTAGGAAAGCTCCTATTGGGCTTTATCCAGCAGAGCAAACCTGTAAATAAAATATAAAATGAGAGCTTATGTAAATGAACAGTCATCGTGCTTGTAATGTTTTTGCAAGTATTTCAAACGTCTGTACTAGACAATACCTTGTCCGCTGTGTGCTTACACGTGCTTAATCAAGTTGTAACTGCCGCTTATGTTAAGGTCAGATAGTTCAGGGAGGGGAAAATACAAACTTGCTCAGTAAATACCAGTGATTTTCCATCCCCGAACCCACACCCTGCTCACCTGGCCTGCTGAGAAAACTGCTCTTTAGCAGGAACAGGACAAGGCCTTTTGAACTAGCAATTCTGCTCTGGTAATATCATGTGCTCCAACACTGTTCTGCTTATTTTATACCACCAAAGAACCTAAGAATTCAGTCACTGAATAATTAAGTACATGAACAATATTTATTACAGCAGTTACTGAATCTACGTTACTTTTAGGACAGGTCTTTACATTCCCATGTGACAGCAGCATGACAGCTGGGCGAAGGAACCTGCAGGGTGCTCAGACTTTCATGGGTGCCCATAACCAAATTATGAATTGCAAAAATCAGTGTAGTGTTACAGCTAGACAAAATGAATAGTGCAATATCAAGACATCTCTAAAGCCATGTGTTTGCTCTGTCTCCTGTCTTACTCACTGAACAAAATTCTGCCTTAAAGAAGGTGGTTCCTAGAGGTGGTTCTGTAGTACAGTGTTGCTGGTCCTGCTTCTGCTTGTTACTGATTCAGCACTTCAGGTTCTCTAAAAATAGCCTTCTGACACAGTCATTTAGTCAGTAGTAATTCTATCTGCCTGCTGGGAAACATCCTTTTAGCTCAATCTTACCTTAATTGGGGATTTGCAATGTAGATGGTAACTTCAGAAAATGTCAATTACTCCAAAGCCAGTTAATGTAGGGACATGATCACAGGAAATATGCAATGCTCGTTTCCTCTCATTGGAAAATATTAGCCACAGTGTTGATTACTTTTGTCCTTCACCACTCCAAAAAAGGAGGAATTTACTGCAGACCTGCATCAGTGCAAGACCCCAGCTGACAAAGTGAAACAAAGATTCATCTTACTTTAAGCATATTTATGCCCCTTCTTTTTTCTCAATAAATCCTCTAGGGAAAAGAATGAAAACATGGAAGAAAAAGCTTTCATTTATCTAAAAGAAGCTGAAAGGGAATTTGTCTTACTTGCTGAGAGAGGATCAGGAGCAGACCAAGCTGGGTTAAAGTAACTTGAATTGCTTTTCGTGGAGCACTTTGCTGCATCAGCACTGCTGCCAAACCTGGCTTCCCTCTGTAGAAGAGCTGCAGTAAGCTGCAGAGCTGACTGGTCTCCAGGAACCAAATTTGAGCAGAACCTGAAGTCCCTCTAGCCTAGTGCCTTTACAACTTCTTTGCTGAAGGTTTTGTATTCACTAGGTGATTTCTCTTGAGATCTCTCATGACCACTGGGCTGCTAGAAGAAAGTGTTTCGCATAAGGGTGGTCTTCATTGCCAGTGTCCCTCTTTGAAGATTAGCACCCAGCCAATCTCACTGAATGTGTTGGGATGCAGCTTGTGACAGCCCTTGAGTACAGTGCCTGCTCCTCTCAGTACAGGGTTGAGCAGCAACATGTGCTCACCAGTGTCAGTTACATTAGCTCTTGTGAAAAGCTGCTTTCCCAGCATCTGCACCCGCAGTTCTGGCATGTATCCTGAGCTCTGAGTAGCAAAACTTTTGTCTAGCTTCAGTGGGAGGTGTATCTCTTGTAAGGTATGCTTACAAGCCTGGCATATCCAACACAGTTTAATAAATATTGCTGGTTTTACGTCTTTCTTGCATACAGCTGTCCCTGGACCTCTATCACACTGAAGACGATATCTACAAGCTCTCACTGGTGCTGGAACCAAGGACCTCCAAATCTGTAGGTTATCTTTTACTGCATTTTGACATATTGCTTATTTTGTCTGCAGGCAGTTGATTACATTTTTAAATTGCAGTAAATATGTTTCCTTATTTGCATTCACATAAAGCATCTTAGTGTTTTGCTTGCATAGTGAATACAGTCAATATTTATAAGTTTTAGTGCGTATTGGGAGAAGTAAAAAGTGGAACATGCTGGACACGAATTAGCAGGGCTCATTTGGAGAGCTTTAAACTAGATTCGAAGGGGGATGGGCTTGTAGCTGGGCTTGCCCCAGTGGGGCAGCGCTCCAGAATTAATGAAGACTGGGAGGCCTCCTATAATCCTAGGGTGAAATCGGTGTGCTCAGCTCGCTCCCTGAAATGCCTGTACACCAATGCGCGCAGCATGGGAAATAAGCAGGAGGAGTTGGAAACCTGTGTTAAGTCAGGAGACTATGATCTGGTGGCAATTACAGAGACGTGGTGGGACAGCTCACATGACTGGAATATAGTCATGGAGGGCTATGTCCTTTTCAGGAAAGACAGGCCAGCCAGGCGGGGTGGTGGGGTTGCTCTTTATATGCGGGAGGAACTACAATGCACTGACTTCTGTCCAGGGACAGATGATGAGCGAGTTGAGAGTCTGTGGGTGAGAATTAAGGGGCAGGCTGGCAGGGGCGATACTGTTGTAGGTGTCTGTTACAGACCACCAGATCAGGGTGAGGAGGTTGATGAGGCCTTCTACAGGCAGCTGAGAGCGGCCTCACAGTCACAGGCCGTGGTCGTCGTGGGGGATTTTAACTTCCCTGATGTTTGCTGGAAGGACCACTCGGCAACCCAGCCACAGTCCAGGAGGTTCCTCCAGTATATGGATGATAACTTCCTCCTGCAAATGGTGGATGAGCCGACCAGGAGAGGAGCGCTGCTGGATCTCATCCTCACTAACAAGGAGGATCTGGTCGAAGCAGTAAGGGTTGAGGGCTGCCTTGGTTGCAGCGACCACGAGATGGTGGAGTTCAGGATCTTGTGTGGCAGGACTAGTAGAATACCAAATAGAATTGCAACCCTGGACTTTAGCAGGGCAAACTTTGGCCTTTTCAAGCAATTGCTAGGGGAAATCCCATGGGCAGGGCTGCTTGAAGGTAAAGGGACCCAAGATAGTTGGTTGGCATTCAAGGACTGCTTTTTCCGTGCTCAAGATCGGAGCATCCCGACACGTAGGAAGTCAAGGAAGAGGGCCAAGAGACCTGCGTGGCTAAATAGGGAATTGCTGGGTATGCTCAAGTGGAAGAGGAGAGTTTACAGGTCATGGAAGGAGGGGCTGGCCACTTGGGAGGAATATAAGGCTGCTGCTAGAGGATGTAGGAAGGCAGCTAGGAGGACTAAGGCATCCTTAGAATTAAACCTGGCGAGAAGGGTCAAGGACAGCAAAAAGAGCTTTTTCAAATACATGGCAGACAAAACTAACACCAGAGGCAATGTAGGCCCACTGATGAACGAGATGGGTGCCCTGGTGACAGAAGATAAAGAGATGGCAGAGTTACTGAATGCCTTCTTTGTCTCTGTCTACTCTGCTGCAGGCAGTCCTGAAGAGCCCTGTACCCCTGAGACCTCAGATGAAGTCAGGTCGACGGAGCGGTTTGCCTTAGTCGATGAGGAATGGGTTAGAGACCAGTTGAGCAATCTGGACATCCATAAATCCATGGGTCCAGATGGGATGCACCCGCGGGTGCTGAGGGAACTGGCGGAAGTCATTGCTAGACCACTCTCCATCATCTTTACCAAGTCTTGGGAAACGGGAGAGGTGCCTGAGGACTGGAGGAAAGCAAATGTCACTCCAGTCTTCAAAAAGGGCAAGAAGGAGGACCCGGGTAACTATAGACCGGTCAGCCTCACCTCCATCCCTGGGAAAGTGATGGAACACCTTATCCTTGGTGCCATCTTAAGGCATATCAAGGATAAGAAGGTTATGAGGGGCAGTCAACATGGCTTCACCAAGGGGAAATCATGTTTGACCAATCTCTTAGCCTTTTATGAGGAAATAACACGGTGGATGGATGATGGCAGAGCGGTGGATGTGGTCTACCTTGACTTCAGCAAAGCATTTGACACAGTCTCCCACAGCACCCTCACAGCTAAATTGAGGAAGTGTGGTCTGGATGATCAGGTAGTGAGGTGGACTGCGAACTGGCTGAAGGAGAGAAGCCAGAGAGTTGTAGTCTATGGGGCTGAGTCTAGTTGGAGGCCTGTAACTAGTGGAGTGCCTCAAGGGTCAGTACTGGGACCGGTATTATTTAATATATTCATCAACGATTTAGATGAGGGAATTGAGTGTACTATCAGCAAGTTTGCTGATGACACTAAGCTGGGAGGAGTGGCTGACACGCCAGAAGGCTGTGCTGCCATCCAGCGAGACCTGGACAGGCTGGAGAGTTGGGCAGGGAATAACTGGATGAAATATAACAAGGGAAAGTGTAGAGTCCTGCATCTGGGCAGGAACAACCCCAGGTTCCAGTATAGCTTGGGGAACGACCTGTTAGAGAGCAGTGTAGGGGAGAGGGACCTGGGGGTCCTAGTGGACGACAGGATGACCATGAGCCAACACTGTGCCCTTGTGGCTAAGAAGGCCAATGGCATCCTGGGGTGTATTAGAAGGGCGGTGGTTAGTAGGTCGAGAGAGGTCCTCCTTCCCCTCTACTCTGCCCTGGTGAGACCGCATCTGGAATATTGTGTCCAGTTCTGGGCCCCTCAGTTCAAGAAGGACAGGGAGCTGCTGGAGAGAGTCCAGCGCAGGGCAACGAAGATGATTAGGGGAGTGGAACATCTCCCTTATGAGGAAAGACTGAGGGAGCTGGGTCTCTATAGTTTGGAGAAGAGGAGACTGAGGGGTGACCTTATAAGTGTCTATAAATATATAAAGGGGGAGTGTCACGAGGATGGAGCCAGGCTCTACTCAGTGGCAAACAATGATAGGACAAGGGGTAATGGGTACAAACTGGAACACAAGAGGTTCCACTTAAACTTGAGAAGAAACTTCTTCTCAGTGAGGGTGACGGAACACTGGAACAGGCTGCCCAGGGAGGTTGTGGAGTCTCCTTCCCTGGAGACATTCAAAACCCGCCTGGACGCATTCCTGTGTAACATTATCTAGGTGTTCCTGCTCCGGCAGGGGGATTGGACTAGATGATCTTTCGAGGTCCCTTCCAATCTCTAACATACTGTGATACTGTGATACTGTGACTTCATTACTCATTGTTTTTCAACAAAACCTCTGCGAGTTCTGGAAACCATTGTTCTTCTCTATGGGAAGATACCCTTTGTAAGTTACGTCACTGTGTGCCCACTACTTTATTTTCTGGATGCTGGTGCAGTTATATAAAACAACACAGAGTCCAAAGATTTGTTTTAGGTAAGGCACAGCATTAGCTGTAACATTCTAAAAACTGTTTGCTTATGTAGAATGGGCTGTATCTTGGGCTCTCAAATAATATTTAAACACCTTAGAATAGACATTACTCTTTTTTAGTGTGTGCAGCTAAATATAGTGATGCATTGATGCATTTTTCATTATGCTTTGCAAGTCTGAGGATGCAGGTAAATCTCCTAATTAATAGCTGAATTTCATTTATAGTGTTACTCTTTGTTGCCAGAGTCTGGGTTTTCCCTCTGAGCCTTTCGTTGGTGCATTAACATTCTTATGACCTGTCATATGCAGCACATGATGCTCTCAGGTTGAGCACCCTCAAATCTGAGACCAGCAAATCTGAGACTGGTCATGCTTAGCAGGGTGTGCTAATGGAAATGCTTAGCAGGGTGTGAGGGCAGAGTCCAGTAGTCTGAGCTGATTCATTTCGGTGCTTTATATGTTTCTGAAGTATTCCTGAACGCAAACAAGGAAGTAGAACCCCTTAATTTCCAAGTATAAGGCTTTTCTGGATTTTAAGATGATTATCATTCTTGGGAACCAGTTTGAGCATTCTGTGTGTGTGCTTTCAATGGTGAATGATGACCAATAGTAAAGAAGCTATTGAATATTTCCATAGTCAATCTTAACTTGGTTTGAACACCTTTAATTTCATTGCTGAGCTTCCAGTCCTTGCTGGATATGATTTGACCATAACAGCTGCCATTTTTCATAGTCATTCTGGCTCCCTTGTGCTCCCATTACTGCCAGCAGAGTTGACTTGTTACAGCTCTATGCTGTGGAAGGACTAATGGGCCACTACTGTAGATGAAGAAAATTACCATGCCGCTGCTTTGATCTTCAGCTTGAACATTAGGGAGGACAAAAGCAATATAAACAGTGCTATGAACTTCAACAGTACCCAGAAGTTGTGGGAGACTACTGCATAATGATCAATAAATAACCAGTGACATTGAGCTGTTGCAGCATCCCGATGGGTAAAAAGCTACAGCTGAATAGACAGAAGCCAGACTATTTGAAGCATACTTCTCTTTGATGGAATGCCAAAGCACACAAGCTATATTAGAGGGGAAAGAATCTGTAGAGCTTTTGTATGTGGAAAAAAATTGTCAAAGGCAACATGACAGCGTAGTTGTGTCATTCCAACTGCTTCTTATTGTTGTATGGGTACAGCTCCTGTGCAGGTGCACTGTAGAGGAAGTGCCTCATGCTGCTGCAGTCATTTTGGAGGCACATCCGTAAGCACAGGAGCCTGCTGTTAACAGGGGCTTGACCTTCATTCTGCTAAAAGTGGGAGGAGAGTCTTCAGTCAGTATAGAAGCCTAAGAAAATACTGAAGATTGACCTCCAGCTGTAGAACAGCATCTCCCTGTCACACTGTCCTGCTTTTCCCCAGGCATTCGTTACCCTCTTGTTGGGAGCTTTTACTGGTGCAGCTATTGCCTAGAAGGCAGCTCTCCTTGGTGCAGTGATGCCACTGAAGACACACACATTTTTTTATTTCAGTGCCAAAATAAGCAGATGTTCACATCCATCTTAAAATATGCTTTCTCAGTCTACAATACAGTTTATGCTTGTGCTGGTGAAACAGACAGGAGATGCAGACTGAATCAGAAACAGCATGCCCAGGTACAGTGTTTCTGAACATTCAGTAAATTCAGCTAGGCAGTCTCTGGTAGTCTCTGGACACTCGTTGGTACCTTTCCTCACAACATGCATTTCACAGAAATAAAATTATGGTTATTCATACGAGTCAATGAGTGAAATAGAAGAAACCAACATTTCCCTTCGGCTAGCGGGCAAGAACATGAAGTTTTCATTTCAACTTGTCAAAAAAACCCCGTAAAAACAGAAGAAGGCTTCAAATGAAAGGATCCAGAAGACAGGCAAAGGCTCCAATGGATTTAGACTCTTTCTGCCACTGTGCACTTGGACCAGAGGAGTTAGAAGCTCTGTGAGGGCTTAGTAGTCCAGCAGACTCTGACACTTTGATACTGATGCTTTCATTCCATTTAGTCTTAAGATTTTTTTTTAAGACAAGGCACACTTCAAATTTCTGCTCTGACCATAGCTGTAAGAATATTACAATACTGGCATGTTACATGTTACCATGTAACGTGTCATCTTCAAAAGATTGCTGCGTTTCCACATATTTCTAGAGCAAAAGCACTTGCCAGCCTGTGGTCCATCACTGTGCAATGCCACTAGTTTTAGGATTAAAACATTCTGTAAGTAGTTTTGGCATATAGAGCTGGATGTCTGGATCCACGGTATTTCTTGGTGAAATTGAATTATGTACATATAGTGATTTTAATTTCCCAAACTTACCTGTGCAGGTTAATAAAGCAACCCGCTAACACACCCTTTTGTTTTCCTACCAAAGGCAGTATTTTATGACTTTGTGACCATTTTTCATCTCAGTGTCAGAATCTACGATACCTTTTTTTTATACACATGATAACTGTAGCATCTTTGCGTGGCTTAATTATCTCCCTCTCAACTCACACCAGTTTAATGGGAAATGGGTTTTTTGCTCAACAGCTAATTCAGGAGTCTTTCTGAGGCTGTGGGCCATTTTCCTTCTGATCCAAACCGTACTGTATTTTTTCTGCTTGACACTGTTTCACCTGCTACATATCCAGTGACAGATGCAGGAAAAGGCCAATACGCCTTTCAGCATTTTTCATGCTGATGATTTTTGAAGCCTTACCTGAAACTGTGTTCAGGTTTGTCCTATATTTTCTGCTTGAACAAGCTGAGCTGTGTGCCACAGCTTCTCCCAAAGCACTGTAGCGGTGTGGAGGGAGTTGGGCTGCGTGCGCTGTGCCTCAAGTGAGCTGTCAGCTACCATTTTGTCAAGACCAAGCTGTTTACAGAATAAAATAGTCTGACTGGTTTTTTCTGCAAAGCAAGTCAAAGGTTAGCCCCTTTCTGCTCAGGCTGCCTGGATGAATTAAGCTGTGCATCCTGGCACATCTCGGCTGGAAACCAGTGGGATTGCAGAGCGTGGTTCTTCCCTTGCTTTTGCATCCTGCTGCCTTCTTGGTGCTGCAGAGAGCAGGAGCGTTAACTTATTCAGGCTGCTGCAGCCCCTTGCATGGCTCCTGGCCACAGTCTCACCAGCAGGGAGTTGGGGCAAGGCTGCATTGTGGTGGAGAGTTCCTCAGGAGCATTACAAGGAAGGGAAAAAGCAGGTTTCTGGGCTTACCTATCTCTGATGTCTACTGTGTCCAGAGATTCTCATTCCTTCCTTCTTCCTCCCATTCTTGTTGCTATTGAACCCTCTAGAGATGGCAGTGAGGAGTCTGCCTGGTTTTGCTTGGGCACTGCCTTGCTGGGCACTGCCACTGCCAGCGTTAGCTGTGAGGTGCCACAAAGAGCCCAAGTGAAGCCATCAGCAAAGGCAATCAACCCTTTAAAACCTTGCCTGATGCTTCGCTAAGCACAGGGACAGCACAGGGACTCCAGTAGTTTGTGGTTGTAGCTCTGACACACAGAGCTGCTTTTAATGGGAAATTTGTCTTCATAATTCAGATTTGAAAGTCTTTGTGTTCTGATCCATCTCTCAGCAGCCTACCTCCCCGACAACCCCCAACAAGCCAGTAGTGCCACTGGAGTGGGCATCTGGAGTGGTACCAAAACCTGACCCTACAGTCATTAACAAGCACATACGAAAGCTGGTGGATGTAAGTATTTGGAAGAATATACTGGTCAAAGAGAATGATAGCTTGGATATTGTCATCATCATAATTAATTACAAGCTTTGCAAGAGATTCTTATGGTTGGGATTAATTTCAGACATCCAATAACGAATTTGAGCCTTTACTGATACATTTGGAATTATTTCTTTTATTCTTGCAATCAGCTATGGGATTAGTTAGCAGGTTTCGTGATGCAAAAGAGCAAATGTTCAGAAACAAGGACTCACGTGTTACTAGGACCAGAGAAGTTTTTCAGAAACCCTGTATTGGTTTTCAACTTGCTGTCATTTGACTGTTCAGAGCATATTATGTATCGTAAAGACAGCACTTTGTTGGTATTGCTTTAAAAATGTAGGCATGAGGTCATGGAGAATTATAGCTAGGATCTTCCAGCATCAGTTTGGAAGTTGATATATTAGGTAATGCAAACGAAGCCAAACACTACCAGGTCCATTTGGAGAGACTGAGCCCTGTTGTGTTAGTGTTTAAGGGACTTTTAGTGATTTAAGCAGCATCCAGGGAAACCAAGAATGTGTTGTACATAATGAAGCAATATTTCCTTCTGCTTTTTACAAATTAATAACTAAGCCTGGGAGGAACTATTAAATTTTCACCTCATCTGTGTTACAGGTCATTAAACGTGTTATGTTGTTAAGATAACTTGAAGTCTTCAGTTGTCTCACTCAGACTTCAAATATATCGTGTTTTACTTCTTGTATATGATCTTATTTTTCAAAAGTTTCATTTTTCTCTTAATGTGGGATGCCAGAACTGCACGTGCTGCTCCTGTATCACTTTTGTCAGTGCCATGTGCATTGATAAAAATCACTCCACATCCAAACCTCTCTTTGACAGCTTGTTTAACTGAGTCTGTTGCAACTCTTTAATCTTTCCAGAATGTGCTAGGTGGAGGGGTTGTTCTTGTTCCTGAGTTGGGGAAGATGCAACCCTCATTCCACAGTTTTGGCCTGGTCCAGGAAGTATGGTCTTGAGTTTGACAGGATTAAAACATGTTTTGGGGCTGTTGCGGATACAGCTTGCCAAAAGGTCCACACCACTCTGTACAGCTGTCTTTGTTTTTTCCAATCTTTGTCATTTACTAGCTGCTTTGAGTTGTGCTTTAAGGCATTGTTTTTATTGCTAAGTGTTGAATACTACTTGGGTTTGCACATTGATTTCTTCATGATAATGCATTTTTTGAGGTCTGCCAATCATTGGTTACAGATCATTTGCTAGGTGCTTAGAAATCAGCTTCATCACCTTCTCATTTAAATGAGGACAATGTAAACACCTTTCAGAGATCTCAATGTATTAAATTCTTGTCTAAATGTATTAAATTCTTAATCTAATGAGAGAATTTGTTCGTCAATATGTCTTTCAGATAGTCATGTTGACTCTGACACTCATGTCTTTCCCATCAGCCTCACATATAGCTGTAATGCCCCTTGCACATCTTCACAATTAGTAACACCGAATTCAGTACTTCCATAGCAGCTAATAAGGGCTTCCATTCATTTTATGCAATCTTTTAAATTTGATCCCATGTCTGTTTTTTCTTAGTGGTAAGCTGAGGTAGGTTGATGGGAGGGAATGGTTGTCGAATGCAAAATGGTCATGGTGTGGGTATCAAGGTATTAGTAAATGAATCAGATTGAAACAGTACTGCGGCAGAGCAGAGGTGACCAACTAAAAGAGAAGTGAAGCCAAAACCATCTGAAATACTCATAGGAAAGCTTCTGTTTAGTTGGGTTTGTTTTATTTATTTATTTTTTTGTGATTAAAAAGCATACATAATGAAGCAAAGAGAGTATAATCACGTGGGGTAGAATTTCAGTGACATTTCCAAGAAGAAAAATAAAACAAGAATAATTATGTCTGAAGAGGTGTGGAGGATCATCACTAGATAAATACTGAGGTCAAGTTTTCTTTAAAAATTAGCCATTTTTTTTTCCCCTATAGTCCAATAAATATATGTGTTGAAGTACAAAGTAGGAATAAAAGGAATAGAATAAGGCAACAGAGCATCTGACTAGTAATGTGGAACATTAAGTTATATGTAATTATAGGATTGAAGAGCTGGTATCAGTTCAAGATAGGCTTGATGTTAGGACAATAATTTCCTTTTTTTTTCCTCAGTCTGTCTTCAGGAATTATGATCATGACCATGATGGCTATATTTCTCAGGAAGACTTTGAAAGTATAGCTGCCAACTTCCCCTTTTTGGACTCTTTCTGTGTGCTGGACAAAGACCAGTAAGTTTGGAGATTTCTTTGTGGGCCTTTTCTTTTTTTAATTTTCCTCGATTTAAATACTCATGAAAAGTAATTCTTGAAGAAACAGTGTCTCCCAAGCTTCTTGTGTCTGACATCTCACTTAAGTAACAGGGGATCACCAAAGGCTGAATTCTGTTCTCATTTAACTTCTTAAGCTCTAATCAATTCTATAAGCCCACTCATGCTGGGGTCCTGCTTTACCTGGTACTTTAAAAATTATTTATGTAGTAGCTTTAATTCCTGCAGGAACTGAGTCAAGACCCTTACAGTACCATCAAATTACAGTGGAGATGCTTTATCCAGACCAGCCATCAGAGCGATGAAAAAAATAAGTTGTGTGCAGTAGAGAGGAAATGGGTGTATGTAGTGGAGGAAGGGTAGCATGTATTCTGTGTGGTATATATATTTCCTAGCATATATATAATATATATTATATATATAATATATGTTTCCTAGCACACTGGGTTTGATAGTTCTTGTTGTCCAGAATCTGTTTGGCTGTCAAGGCTGGTGATCAGCCAGGGACATAACTGCTTGGTCTGTGTAAACAGTAAGTCAAGATCCTTCACCTAATGGCCCAGTCTATGCTCTGATACCATGAGCAGGTGAGAAACCAAGGTCCATGCTATAAGTTCGGTGTTTGCTCTCTTATGAAAGGTAAGAACCACTAAGGCTCTAAGGGATTTTTTTCTGCCAAGGCTGTTACAGCTTTTTCAAAGAATGTGCTAGGTGCACTGCATGCTTTTTGCAGTGAGAAAACCTGAATTGTTCAGTGCCATGAGCAGCAACAGACCTAATCTACTTTTTTTTCCCCTGACAGAGATGGTCTTATAAGCAAAGAGGAAATGATGGCTTACTTCCTGAGAGCTAAATCACAGTTCCAATGTAAAATGGGACCAGGGTTTATTCATAACTTTCAGGAGATGACCTATCTTAAACCAACTTTCTGTGAGCACTGTGCAGGATTTGTAAGTATGTCTTTAACAATAGTGTATCTGTCTCAAACACATTTACCCTTTGACGTAGACCAGGTGAAACTGGCTCCATGCATTGTAAAGTCTCTTGGGCAAATATCTCCTTGCATTCAGAAGCACAAAACATTTCCTCATGTTGTAGCTGTGCTACCCAGTTTTGTTTTGGTGGTTCCTGAAAAAAAGTGGCATTTGTAAGATTTACTGTTGTGGGGCGTGTGGGAGAACAAAATTCTGTCAGCTAATATTAGAGACTGTCTACTATTCTGTCAGGATATTAGAGACTATATGAATGGATTTACTTGGTTTATCTTAAGGTCTTTAATTTGGCTTGATTTCCCATGTAAATAAGCGCAAGGGAAAATGGGTGTCTGGAACAGAGGATGTAGATGAAGCAAAAGCAGTTCTTTCTCAGGAAATTGCACATGGCAACATAGCATGTTCATAATTCTCCGAATGACCATAACAGCCTTAATCTTTTCTCTATTGAATTAACAGATCTTCTAATTCGGTCAAGAAATCAAAAGAGCTTCCAGCAGTTCTGTACAATAAGAATTTTTTAATCTATTTGTAAGGGGTTCTGTTTCTTTGTTTTTCCTTTTTCTCTCCGACATAACTTACCAGATGCCACCTATTAGAGTATTTAGTACATAGGTGGGAAATAATTGCTTTTGTGAATACTTGTGTTGCTCGCAAACCTCCTCCAACTTTTCTATTTCAAACCAAGTATGGTAAAGAAAAAGGAATTACTATGATTTTAAAAGTTACTTTAATGCACACACTCCACCAAAAGCAAATGTTTCCATGTAGACAGCCAAAGCAGTAAGGACAGAGGGTCATGTCCTCTGCTTTTGTGTGGCCCACATACAGGTTATAAATTCAGACTGTGATCCCTGCTCTCCAGAGCCGATCTGTCCCTGCTGTCACAGTGAAATCTCCAGCTTGTACTAAGTGAGCTTTTCCACTAAGTAATATTTCTCCACAGTTGGAAGTAACAATAACAGCGCTGCTAAGTGCAAAAATGTGCCTCCTTTCAGGCCAGTTCTGGTGTTCCTGCTCTAGTCCATCCTCCCACCTTCCGCTTGCTTTTTTTGTGATGTGTCAGTCATGTTCAGATGCTCGTGGTCCCTACTGCAACCGCTGATCAAGGCCATGGGAAAGAGGGAATTCCACCTATTTCTGCTAGAACTGCAAAAGCCTTGGAGGCAACATGGTCAGTGCTGATTCAGGAGTGTGCTGGTGGGCTCTTAAGCTGACAGCTCCAGCAGACAGCTCAGGCAGTCACTGGTCTGAGTCTATTGTTTCAGATTGCCTGCAGCCTCAGGAGGACGTCATTGTGTTCGTGACAGTCAGTTCATATTTGGAAGGCTTCCACAGCAAAGCAAGGCCTGAGGACTGCCCTGCAATGTCCTCACCACCAGATATTTTTCTCCTGCATCAATTTGCTAATTGGCTATTGTTGGACTTTTTACGTCTCCCTGATTACATCCAATACAGGAATACAAATGAGTAAGGGGTTGTACAGGAAATGGAAATAAGGTCATTTTTTCCTGTCAACTCACTGAAGTCATTGGCATTGTTCTGTGGATGAGTTGAGCTGATAGGACAGGAACCAACTACAAAATCTGCTGCGTATTTGTTCTGCATTTCAGTGCTGCTCATCCACGGGTGGAAATCTGATTTCAAACTGATGCACTGATTCACAGTCAAAATAATGTGCGCTGACAGTGCAGCAGGATGAATTGACATGACAGTGCAATGCACACAGTATTCAATAAAATATTTGTTATTAAAAAGATATGAACTTTAAAGGTCAATCTAAACCCTGCTGCCATTAAGCAGCATAAAATTGATATGCCCATGGCTGGTCACAGTTCCGTGCCACAGCTTGAGTTACACCTTGTGGCAGAGTAGGTGACCAGCCGTCCCGCTGAGCTTTATAATCTGAATTTGCACAGATCCTCTTACCTTGCAGCTGGCTCAAGCCAGCTTTGCAGAAAAGCTGTGTCAGACAGATTCAAAGCTTTAGGTCAGAATTCATGCCATGGCACTTTCACTGTGGTGTGCAACCCCAACTGTGGTGCCAAGTTTGAGTAAGAGAAAGGTACAGAGCTGAGAAGGTGAGGAGAAAGTGGGAACAGATCGGAGCTTAAATGAAAGAAATAACAATCCATGTCTCTTACAGGGATCCAGGCAAAGAGACCTGGGCAAAAAGGTCATTACTGTCCATTCAAGAGGGGCTTGGGAAGCTCCACTCTCACTGCCTTACCACAGCAACTGCATTGACTGGGCTTACATACAGCATTAGTTGGAAAAGAACAAGCAGCAGGCTTTTTATGGACCCTTCCTCCACTGCTGACCTTTCTGTTCTGTTGTTCACTGTTCTTCCACCTTGCCTAATCTATTTTGCTTTCTCCAAGCCCCCCTTTTTCCTTGCAAATTCATTTGTGCAGTATATGGATTTTTTTTTTTCCCCTGGAATCTTCCTATTCTCTTTATTTTACTCTTTCCTTTGATTTCTGAATTTTCTCCAACTCTTCCTGTTGAACATTTCTTTAAAGACCTTATTCAGCCCCTGCAGACTGTGCATGGATTCCTATAGATACGGTATGGATCCATGTGCAGTTTCAGCTGCCTGCTCACCCTCCCTGGTAATGTTTTGAATGAGGTCATGATAAACAAACACTGGAGTCCCTGATTTTTTCCTTTAATGCTAGAGCTAGAAAAGCTGCCCCTTCCTCTTTCTGCCTCTGAGAGTGAAATTGCTTGGTTTTATAATGACATGGCTGTAGATACAGCACTTCTGAGTGTACAGATAACAATTTGGCAGGGAATTTTCCTACTTCCAAGCAACCCTACTTCCCAAAAGTGGGATGACACACACTGTATCCTGGAAGTTTAGCATTTGGTCATTATATGCATCAACAAGGACAGTTTCTGGGAGGACACAAAGATGGAATTCAGTGGCTTTTCTGCCTGTTTCAATCTTCAGCCATTTTTAATGGAAAAAGTCAGGTGTACAAATCAGACTGCTGTGGCTAAGTGTGCTGGGGACCAGTATGGGAACCAAGAGCTTAATTTTTATCCCCAGTGGTTCTTTCTTCTGCTGTGTTTGGATGGCCTGGCTCATTCATGTATCTGGAGAATGGAGGTACACTGGAAATTCCCCCACAGATAACATTAGTGAGCCTAGTAGCAGAATGTGCTCTGCTGGTTTCAGTAAGTTTGATACGATGGCAATTTTTCACCCATTTCTGGAATCAAATGTCATCTGTGTGTCTCCTTCTCTGGTAGTCCCACTGTAAGTAGTAGGAATAGGGGGGAAAGCCACACATGTCTTATCACAATTAGAGGGGAAGGTCTGCCTAACAGGAAGGGTGTTAAAAGCAGTTGTATCCTGTTTGTGCTGTTGTAGCCATTGGTACTTCCTCATTGTGACCTTGTTTTCCTTCCGGCTTTCTTTTCTGATTCCTTGACGTTCTTTTGTCTTTCTTTGCAGCTCTGGGGCATAATCAAACAAGGCTACAAATGCAAAGGTAAATAAATATTGCATGGATTTTTTCAAGCTATATGTGGAGGGGTTTAGCACAAGTAGGCTAACTGTATTTTTTACTAAAATATCATCTGTTCATCCAAATTTTGCTTCTACACTTCGTACTGTCTGTGAACAGTGACTTCTGGTACACTGTGAAGCCGCACTGCATTAGGGGACATGGCACCCGGTAGGAAAACACATAGGTTCTTGAGCTAAAGGCCCAAAGCAGCCCCTGACTCCATGAGGTGTCACTTTCTACCAGCAAAGACCTTACACCCTGGAAAACCGAGTGTCCTCATCCTAACACCAAGACATCCTGAAATATATCTCCTGAAACATGGGGTCAGGAAAAGGTCTGTTGGCAATGCTGTCTGTCATGTACGTCCGCATGCCTGCAGTGAAGCCTAGCTGTCCTTGCAATGCAATAGCGACTGAGCTAGAAATAGAGAAATAGTTAATTCCTAGACTGCCCAGCAGATGTTATTGCAAGACCGTTTCTTGAGACAGTCGACTTAAAAAAAACCCTAGAGCTGTTACAGTTTTCTGTTGCTTTCATAACATGCTTAATTTCTTATGCAGTACTTGCACCATATTGAGCAAGAATATCAGACCAAGAATGACATTGTTATGGTCCTCATTAGCTTTAAAGTCCTGGACCTATTAATTTCTCAAGCAGCCCAGCTCAGGATGAAGGGCACTGTTGATTTTCACATTTGTAGTTGCATCCCAGTTATTCACAAGGGAACATTCACGCTGTGGCTTCCTAGTTGTATTTGTATGCATTTTTTTCCCCTCAGTCTTACACTGGCTCCCAGGAGAAAGATGAAAAATTTGCAGTGTTTTATTTTTAGGATACATCCTATTGCTCTCCCTGTCCACCCATCAACATCTCTTCCTCAGAGAGGGGTGGGGAAAGCATCCATGGCTAAACCATTGTGCTTAATTCAGCTATTCCTCACTACTGTCATCTGAGCAGCTACAAAAGGGTTAATTGCAGCCCATACTTTTACTGTTAGGGTCAGGGTGCTGTGTTTTGTCACAGCACCCCTGTAAACTCATCTTGAGATCTGAAAGTATGTCCTGTCTCTGTCCCGCATCGCTTATTAACAACAGCCCAGTGGAGAGAGTGAGCAGAAGTGGTTCTGTAAAGGCAAAATTACAGGCAATGAAGCATGACAGTAAGAGAGCAGAGCTGCTCACTCAGATCTTAGTGGTCAACAAGTGCAATTAGTGCCTGCCCTTTGCTACAGCAGCTACCAGCTGCTCTGTACACCAGCATCACTGGAGTGCTGCACCCGTTATGGTTGATTTCTGTCTTTGAGCACAGAGCTGTCATCTGTTTCGAACCTCTGACACTGTGCTAGCAGGGGGAGGGAGTGAGGGAGTTAATCTGTTTGGGTCTGCTGCTTACCTGCATTGTGGGTAATGAGATAAAGCCAGACTGTGTGGCCTACGAGTAACAAAAGAGATTCTCTGCTGCTAAGAGAGATTTTTACTGACTGGGGGAGGGTGTGAGGAAGTGGGTGTGATACCTTTAGGGCAGACAATACCACACCTGTGCAGGTACTTCTGTATTAGTCATATGAAAAAGGTGATGGGAGAGCTCTCATCCATCATGCTAGCACTGCTAGAGCAGAATGACTCTTTTAGCAGAGTTAGAAACACAACACTCTGGTGATGGCTAACATGTTAGGTTGTGGAGCAGCAACAGAGAAACAAGGGAGATGGAAATTTTCAAACAAGGGCAGGGACACAGAGGAGAGAGAGCCTGTGTTTGGGGCACACATCCTCCACCCTTTGGACCTTTCTTGCAGGTAAGATCTGTACTGCAGTCACACTTCAAATAAATGTACCTAGTGGTGAGTGTACCTGCAGTGATGCAAAGCCCAGCAGAGGATATGTGTGCAGGCACTCAGCGACTTTCATCTGGATGGCTGATACACATCAGAGCTTTTACTATGCTGCTGCTGCTTACTGAGTTTCTTCGACTAGTTTTAACCTACAGTGGTCTACACTGACCTCTACCTGTCAGAATCAAGAGTACGGATGCTCCAGTGTATTTACTATAATGGGCCCTGCTGAGTCAAATATCGAGTAATTCGAGGTTGCTTCTTTAAGACTAATTTCTGACGGAATATCATCCCCTCTTCCTGATGCTGCCAGATTTCTACTAATGGCTGCCATGGAAATGATCTATTTTTTATAACACCCTTCACACCAAATGATCTGTTTCTGTAACTCCCTTCGCACCTTCCTTCAAAGGTCCCACCTGTATCTGCCTGCTAATAGCCCTGAGGGACTACCAGACAGTTGTGACTTTCCATCTGGTGACTTGACAACGCCTTTTTTTACAGACTGCGGTGCCAACTGCCATAAGCAATGCAGAGACCTGCTTGTGCTAGCATGCAGGAAATTTTCCAGAGGAACCTCAGTAGGTAGCAACCACGGCTCTCTGCCTAGCAGTCCATCCCTGCCTCCAGGTGAGAGCATCTTGTTCCTATTTAAAACCATTTCTGGAATCCTCTCTCACAGCCAGTGTCCTTGATGCCATGTTTGATTTTCCCTTTGTATCAACGCACAGAGCAGCACTGTGCATTCCATTGCACTGGGGTTTGTGTTCAGTGGTCAGATTACAACATCACTTCCTGCAGTGATGACCTTAGTCTCCTGCTTAAGGCCCCCTATCCTCTATACTGGTGCCTCTATCCCAGCTGAAAAGAAATAAAACTAATTAATTAGGGAAATTGTACTTTTGCTTATAAACCACTCAGGGGCAGGGGCTGGGAGATACAGGGCACAATTCTAGCTCTGCCTCATACCCTGAGCGTCCAGGTGGAAGAAGGAAATGCGCACACACAAGGTCAAAATCAGTTTCCAAGCAGCATATGGATATTGCTAATTCTACCACTGCTTCCTATAGGGGGATTAGCTCCTCCTGCCCCAGACTTAAGTTACCTTTCTGTAAAGATCTCAAAGTAGACTAGTTAAAATAAACAATTCCACCTTCTCTTTCAGTCCAAGATGACGTGTTTGAGTTTCCCAGCGTGGCTGCGGAGCATCAGGACCTCGATGGCAGAGCGATCACCCTCGTCACTGGCTCTTCACGGAAAATTTCGGTGCGGCTGCAGAGGGTGACCACCAGCCAAGCCACACAGACAGAACCACTCTGGCATGAGCCAGGCTGGAACGATTCCGGCTCCCATACCTTCCCCAAAATGAAGTCCAAATTCCATGGCAAAGCTGGGAAGAACAAAGGCTTTGCAAAATGGGAGAATGAAAAGCCCAGTGTGCAGGCTGATATAGAGCCAGAAGCTGAAGCCCCACAACATATACAGGATCACAATGGAATTGAAACCCTCCCAGAAACACAGGAATCTGAGGTGAGTTGCAGAAGAAGCCAAGACAGTGTAAAATATGCTAGAGTCTGAGGTCTCAAAGTTATTTTATGAATTTCAGGAGGCTTTTTCATTAAAATTTGCCACTGCTTCTTGAACGAGTTACTTTCAGAATTCTGTCAAATCATCCATAGATACCCGTTTTCTACACTGCAGTTTGTACTTACTGTAACTGGGGGCTTGGGTCTTGGATTCAGTATGTGCTTTTAGGAGGTGGGCACTTTTTGAATCATTAAAATAGCCTGATGGAGATCTGACCAAATTCTGTGCTGTTGCACCTTTGCAATGCACAGTTATGGGCTCCGTATTAGACTTACAAGAACTAGCATTCTGATACACAAATCAAGACTAGGGTAGGATATCGGTCTGAGTTTTGTTGTTGCCACCCATAAAGTTTATATGTCCAAAGCCTCGTGCTTCCATTGACCATTTTTGCTAGCATGTGCCTATTTTCCTTCGTTTACAGGACAGCTGATTGCTCACCGTGAAGCACAGAAAAATGAAGATGGCAACGATAACACAGCAAGTGTTGATGGACTGTCACAGACCATTCTTGCCCATGAGAAGTCTTCCTGTACCTCGTACACTTAAATTCAACCGTTGCCGTTTTCTTAGCTGAGAAGTGTTACAAAGCACTATTTATTTTCTCACGAGTAAGCCGTTTGGATGAACATTGCACGGACACAGCAGAATGGATCTCTGCGCTCAGTGTTTTCTTTTGTATGACTTTTGTGGAAACTTCCTCCACATACCAGTGAGGATATATTTGGCCTCCTTTAAATACACTGCATCATTTCACTATGGCTGCCAGCAACAACAATGGTGAGGACAGAAGCCAAGCATCTAAGTTTGCTCGATAACACTCCTTTCCAGAGGCTTGTAATGATCTTTTAAGGAAAGAAGTAGGTGTGTATGTTGATTAAATCTCAAACAAAAACCTTCCACAAAGTCCTCTATGCCGAAATTCTTTTCACACCTGGTGTTTCACATTTTGCCATGTTTACATTGTTATAGTGAGCATACTGGTGTTCAGCATAGCGATACCAGTTCCGAGACTGCAGATCCTTCAAATAGGCAGCAAGTGTCTGAAGGAATTCCGAGACACTATGCATTTATCAGGTTACACTGCAATGGAGAGGCATCATCTCTGCCTGCACCGATTATGGTAAAATTAGCATGTAATAAACACCTTAGTTTTAAGTGTGTGTATATACTTGTGTATGTGGCATGTTTTTCTCTGGTTTAGCAACCTGTACATGCTAACACTAAACATACCGAAGAGCAACCTGCAAATTAGCAGCTTGCAAATGGAGGATCCAGCACCTGAATTACAAGGGGCCCAAGAAGGAAGTTTGAAGTGGCATTTCCCAGAAGCATTAAGTTACTTAAGGAGCATAGCCCTTATCTGGAAGAACAGAGGAAACCAAACCAAAACACCACAAAGCTCAAACCTGAAAGGTGTGCCCCAAATTGGCATGCATGTATTATTCTTCCTACTCCATGTCCCCACAAAAATAGGTGTGTGTAGGGAGCATACATGCCGAATGAAAGCAACCCAATTATAGGATTTCCTACAAAATTAAGTTATTGCACGCTTCATCAAGTTACAAGACCAGACAGTAACTTCATAGACTTCCCTAACCAAAACTGACAGCTGCACTCCTCTGTGGTAATTTGACAGTAAACTGCACTGTGACACCTGCTCAGGTCTGCATCTTGAATCCTGCAGGTTTGTTTTCCAAAACAAGTAGTAATGATAGTAATTCTGGGGAGAGAAAGAAAGAGGAAAAAAAAGAGAGGGAGAACATGCTTTCACTGTTTTAAACTCAGAGAAACATGTGCTGCAGAGAGCACTGATTTCCAAGGTAGGATGAGGGCCAGAAGCATCCCTCAGTCTTCCTGCAGTGTGCATATAAGCAGCTTTAGCAAAAATATGGTCCTTATTTCTTGTGGTGTGGCAGGTGACGGGGTCAGAGCAGGCTGACCGCACAGCTGCCGTTACAGCATATGGCTTGCACACAATGCAAATGATGTGGTAGAGAATCTGAATGGAGAAAATTGGTTATGGTCCAGCCTGTTGATAGATCTGTTGAGATAAGCTTTTTAACGCTTTATAAATGAAATGCTCTTGTGCAACTCCATTCTTAGCATCACATAAGAGTTTTAGCCAGCATTTAGTCTGCAAACCTCAGCCCATTTCTTTCAGGGTCTTAAAAGTTAGTTTTAAGCTCTTGTGCCATCAGGCCCACAAACCATGCATGTCTTCATTTCGTTGTTGGACAAGAATGTTTCTCTTACATAATCTTACTTTCTCACATATTTACTCCCCAAGATACTTAACAAAGAATTTCTTGTTCGCCTCATCTGACTTAACAGGAGACAAAATGTATCAGCCATCAGAGTCCTGACTAAACAATGAGCCTCTGCTGGTCTTGGTGAAATCCTGCTTGCTGGAAGTAGAGCAGTTCCAGGAGAGTGTCCAGGAGAAAAAGTGTCATAATGACAAGAGTACTAGATTAATGAAGTAGCTAAAGTGAGATACAATCCCAAATGATGCTGGATACTACCACCACATCCATTCTTCCCTGTCTCAGGATCTTTGAAGAAACTTAGGGGGAGAAAGAGGAGCTTTTTTAAAAAACAAACAAAAAAAATCCAAACATAAAAACACCACACAGTGGAAAGATTACATCAAACCTTATTTACGGCACAAGCTGCAAATGCCAAAGAATACAAGCAATAAGAGTAGGCGAAAAATACAAGTGCTTGGATAGACTCTGTAAGAGATTATTTGGCTGTTTGAGCCAAACCCACTAGGACTTTCTGTGCTTGTGTAAAACCTCTGCAAAGCCATGTGATGCAAATAAGGGAGCTTCAGCCCTGCTGTCAACTTTATGGCATAACTTTGAGTGCTGTGCAGGGAGTCAAGGGGACATCTGGCTCCCTCAGAGCAAAATGCAAAACCAGGTTTGAGCTGCAGCTCTCCCCTCTGCTCTAGATCTCCTCAGTCTTGCCCATCCCTGCCACCACCAGTGTTACCCAGCTTTTGGGCTTTAAAAGACTAATCCCAGCTTCACAAAGAAACATCTTCCTAGGCAGAAGATATCTTCTCAGAGGTGCCTTCCTCAGGCAGGTGAAGCCTAAGGGAGGGGAGGGGGGGGGGGGAAGGTAACATGCTGGCTGACCAGAGCCAGTCAGAAGCATGGATTTTCCCATGCAGGGAAAAGTAAGCCATTTTCCTTTCAGTACAGAAGATGATAAAAAGCTGAGTTACAGAGCAAATTTAGGGGCAGGTGCTGCTTAAAATTCTACATTTTCCCCAAAATGTAGTGAACTGGCTGCTGTCACCTCTGTGGGCTGTTGCTCAGGAACTGCCCTCTGGAAGCCAAAGTGAAAGTGCGCCCCAGCGCAGCAGCCCCCATGGTCATCCTCACTGTGGGCCTGGGAGTCTGTCTGAAGCAGCCTTAGCAGCCAAAAAAGGGTCCTCACAGCCTGGGACACTTGCTCCAGAAGCTTTAGGCATCTGTATGGGAAATAGCTGCATGTGAAGAAGGATCCTGGATACAGGACACAGGCAGAAAACAAACAAAAACCCCCAGAGAACAAACAACAGACAGATGGGGAGTAAGTGTGGGAAGAAGCATTCTAAGAGAGCTCTCCCTCCCTATGTGACACCAAGAATGGAACAGGATCCCAATGGAGACTGAGCAGAGGGGGAAGGAAAGAAGAAAAGGAGGAAGGAAGAAAGGAGATCTGAATGCAGATTCCATGGAGACACAAGAGGTAGGAGACACAAGGGCTTGTCGTTTCATGATCACCATAGCCAAAGGAAAATCTAGCTGAGATTTGCTTCATTCAGCATCAGCCTGCTAACTGATGGGCCTCTGTACAGCACCAAAAAAAATAGCTCCAAGTCCTTCTCAAGAGAGTCTTGACAACACAGTTGGCCCATCCCGGGACACTGGAGAAACAGAGCTAACTTTGGAACAAGTTATTGAATTATCAGCACTGATCTGAACTGGATTTTCAAAATAAGCACTGCAGCCAGCAGGCTAAACTCACTGGAAAATCTGCGTGCTCAGCTCCAAAGTGCTGTTTACAGCTGCTGACAATCTGGTCCTAGGAGACAGAAAAGCCATCAGCAAAAGGCTACCGCTGGGGCAGTATGAAATTTAGCCAAAAAGTCTGCTTTTTCCATGAGTTAAGCTAATGCCGGAAAGTTTAAAGAGCCCTTATCACCTTCATCTCTACTTCATGTGTGAAAACCAGTTATGACCTTCCACCTGCCCACAGCACAGGCAGACTCCCTCTTTCTTTGGTTTTACAATAGTGTTTTCCTACTTTTTGTACTTGTTTTTCTCTCCTCTGTTGTGGGAAAGACCCACGTGGACAAGAGGGGAAATTACTGGACAATAAAGGGGAAACAATGACACTGACAGCACTCAGAGCTGTAAAAAGCACTAAGTAAACACAAAGGAAAAGTATTTTTCCCTTCTACCCTTGTTTGTTGAGCCATTAGAGGTAGGACTTATTTTCAGCCAAAGAGGGGAGAAGGCAGTGTTTACAGCTGGTAATAGCACTTGCTTTTTCAATTTGCGTCCCTTTGAAAAGGCACAACCTGAAACAAGCAAACACACAAATATTCTGAGAGCCTACACAGAGGAAACAGAAGTTCACATCCACTTCAGTGTACCAGTGTCCGATCACAACACTGGTGTGACTCTAACCTAAGGGTATTCTAGGAGGCTGGGAAAGCAAGCTTGCAGTTTAGCCTTGCTTGGGACTGCTAAATCACACTCAACACCTTAAATGCGTACATACTTCTGTAGCATCCCTGTTGTCCAAGGAAAATCAGAAGTTCAGAGAGTAAGCAGGATCACAAGCCTCACAGTCTTCTGCAGCAACAAGACACTCTACTGCAGCCCTAAATATTGCAGAACTAATTAAAAATCATGTGCCATGAGCAGACAGTTGAGGGCTTTCTTGTGCTGGCCTTCATTAACCTAACAGGGAGCTAAATTAACTTCTAGTACTCTAGGAACTCATAGGAGCTTTTTGGAAACCCAAAAGAGCCATCAGGTCTTCCAGAGAATCATCTTACTCCGCACTCAACTCTTTCCACTTCAGCACAGTTTAATTTTCATTTCCCAGGTGCATAATCTGTTACAGGGAACACTCTTATGCCACAGCACTTTTCAAGCTCCAGCCACTTCTCATGTCTACTGACATGAATCTTGCTTCCCTTCCTCCCAGTTCTAGTTTAGGTAAGTGTCTAGGTCTCTAATTAGGCCAGAGACTGGTTGAAGCACTTGCCACTTTCATTAATTTCATTAATTATCCCCCCTATAAATGCTTGCTTACTTAATTGCCCTCTTGATCTGCTGGAGTTCTGCTTTTGGAACTAGGTGATCTTAAGGTCCTTTCCAATCTTAACCATTCTATGATTCTATGATGCACAATAAAATCAAGCACATATATCCAATCCAACAGTCTCCACAACTGATCTCTCCCAGCTTCCAGTTAAGAGATTCCATCCAGTGCAACAGGAATCGTGTTTGAAAAAACAATAAATATCAGAGCATTATACAGAGAATAACAAAGCAGT